AAGTGGTCGGGATACCGACTGTTGGCTTTGGGCTCGGTGGCGGTATCGGAACATAACTTAACGATGATCGTCTCGTATAAGGTCCTGGGGTTGCTCCGCGAGGGGCGGGCGTCGGTCCTCGGGAAGGAACGAGCACGGGGGGTGATTGTGGCCTAAAGTTCTGAGATGGTGGCCGTTGTATCTTGCGTCCGATCAACTCAGCCTGGATTCCACTTCCCTGAAGCTGCTTTAGACGCTCAGCCAGTGAGTTGCCAGATCGTCTGCCAATCGAATCGGCATCTGATACCCCGTCTGGTTGGGCAGCACGGCTTCTGCAGGGAGAGAAAAAGATGTAAGCATAGGTTCAAAATACTCCAAAGATGGGATAAAAATTGGAGGAGACGTGTTGAGTCGGGGAAGATGGAGGACGGTTTGAGCGCCACTTACGCCTCTGCTTTTTCTATCTGTAATAGTGAGGCCTGAATCTTGTCGGCACTCTTAATCATTTGCTCAAATGCACCCTTGAAATTATGAGCCCTCTCATGGACTAGGAAAAAGAACCCTGAACTGCTCGTCATACCTTGTTCATAAACTCTTGCATGGACTGATATAGGGCCCCATGGTGGCCTCGCACAGTCTCTTGCTTATACTCGTGCGACTCCTGAACAAACTGGAGTAGTCTACAAACACACGGCGGGGGGTCAACGAAGATGATTACATAGGACAAGACACGAAACCTAGAGAGTGGACTGCGCGCAAAAGTGGCCTCACTTACACGCCTACTTGGACAAATTGGTACAGCGCGCCCCTAAGGTCTCCATTAGCCTCTTTCAAGTGGGCTTCCTCAGCGAGTCTCCGTAATGAGTTCATGGCCGTCAGCGGTGTAGCTCCCTTCACCGATTGGTTCGTCTTCATGGCGGCTGCGCTCCGAATCTGGGAGACGGTTCTGAGCTCTGGAGCGAGCATTGGAGCTGATGTGGGTTGAATGGGTGATGCCGTCGATGGCATAGTCAAGAACATGCGAGACGGTCGGGAACAAGTGTCTCGCGTAATTCCCCACAGCTGCAAGTAGTGGCTTCAACCCTGGCCATGGGTTGGGCTAAACCTCACAAGACACCAAACAAATGATTGCAATAAATATATAAATTAACATAATTCGTAATACTAATTAATGATGCTGACCCCTGGCATGAAGCAGAGGCACCTGTTACATGAGGGGGAATAGAGTACAGGAAGAAAAAAGATATCATCCAACAGATTATCTATGAGCCCCTTAGCGAAATCTAAGGGGCGTGAGTATAGATAGGGTGATGGTGACATGGACACAAAGGAAGAGGGGGGCAATCGAGAGAATACCATAGCTAAACGGCCCACTGACACATCATGTGAGCCGCGAGTTAGCCTACTGTCTTCGGTGTGGTATCGAATCAGATTTTTTTCGGCGAGTTTGGGGATTATTCGTTGATTCAAGATAACGGAACTTGTAGTGATCAGAGCCATGTTTTTTTCGATCGCACATTATTGGCAAAAAGATTCCGGTGTTAGTATAAATCATTGATACCTTCCACGTCGACAGGGCGAGAATCAAGGCGGAGGTGGTCCTATCTGCTTAAACGGTCTGGTTTCTGGGTCAGTCGCAACGTAGGAAGCACTGCTCGTTGAAGCCGTTCAACGGGACAAGAGGCTGGGGGAGGTCCCCTTCCCCCTGCTGTGCTTCTCGTTGTTCCTTCTCTCGTTTTGCTTTGAATTCATTCCAAGCTTGTTTGAATTTCTTGTTAAGGAGACCTTGCCTCCTCCTCATAGACTTGTCTTGGGTACAATACACGCATATGCAACGGCCAGGTTGCATTCCGCGCATCAACCAAGCAATATGGAACATAGCTTCATTAGGTGATCTAAACTCACGATTCCCTCCCCGAAGAAAGCGATGTCAGCGATGGTGTCGTGGCCTCGGATGGAGAAACTTACTGAGAGATAAGTGTCCTTTCGCTTGTCAGCGTGGAATCCCTCGGTCCCCACATAACGGGTAATTAGGTGATAACCTGGCGGAAACTTTGTGAGTGTGAAATATTGAGTACCTGGAAAGCAAAGTCAGCACAAGTTGCATCGTAACGAATTTTACAAATTATTTACCTTCCTCGTCAACCAATAGGAATTTATGAACCAAATTATCTCCAATTTTCTTCCTCCAACGCCGAGAAGTTGGAGAATCGAGGGGCTCGTTCTTGGTCCAACAAGTGAGACCGTCGTCTGTTTTCTCCATCGATTCACCAGGTAGGTCAAGGTTCTCTGCGTCAGTAGCATGGACGGTGAGTTGCTCATGAAGGGTGAAATATCGAACATTTGGCTGTGGCGAATAGTGAACCATGGATCAAAATTGACGCCAGTGAAAGTCAAGCTGATATAGAAATAATTGAGAATAAAAATGAATTTATTTTTCTGTTATCAAAGTAATGGTTGGGTCCAAGTAATGGGCGTCGTCGGCGTAATGGTGGCATGACCAGGATGTGCGAAGTGTCGCCGATGAATCGAAAGCCCCTACACCCATTGTTGCACTAGAGGCAAAAGACCGGGACCGTAGAAGTAACGTAGGGGCCGTAAAAGTGTATACTCTTCATGGAAGCGTTGTGATGGTACTGTCGAATGTTCACCACCACGACCTCGTCAAAATATAGCCTTTCGTCCTTCCCACGTTGTTTAGGGTATGCTTGAGCTCCAAGCTTCGAAATCCGAGTCGCGGCAGTTGCGATTACCCGCAGTGGCGAGTCTTGGGTGCTTGGCTCCTTGGTAAACCGGCCTTGGGTTCCACAGACTGTCCAGCACCACCAATGGTTGTGCATCCCTTTGCCTCATGTGATGACCGCTGTCTTCCCCATTCCACCCGTTTGTGCTGGGGTTTGCGATGCTGCTAGCAACGATGTGGGCGGCTTTTCGGGCCATTTCGCAGATGTTCACCGTAGGGTCAAATGCTCCACTGAATGGGTGTGGCTGGCTGTCGTGGACAATGGGCAGTCTTGCGGCGCATCAACGAGAGCTCACCAGTTCTGCGTCGTCACCGACAACGATGGATACTTTTATTCTGCCATTTGCGGAAAGAGCGGCGCCTCGCGGGATCCGGTCTATCCAAGGCAAAAAGCCAAATCGCGCGTCCCACCAAAAACCGTGTGGATTGCGAGCCCGAACAGCAGGGACTCTCGGCGTGCAGGCATGTAAATAACAACCATTGAGAATCGCAGTCAGGAATTTGAACGAATTATTGCTATTTTTGAACGTAGCAGAGCTGAGGTGGTCGGAAAGGGCGGCCTCGAGGCGTAGCACACATTTAGCCGTGAAGGAAAGGGGGCAAGCCACACCCTCCTCTGTGGACCTATAAAGCCGCTGCTCCCTTCTTGGCTTTTTACCCACTCACTTTCCCCCTCTCCTCCTCCATCTTTTTTCTGTCCTTGTTGCTCCTCAAGGCCAACAGCAGTACCTGGGTGACTGCTCAATCAGATTTTTTCACGTCTGAGACGACTTTTTACGCCTTCAGTGCATATATCTTGACGATCAACTCGACGCTGCCGAGCACGCATTTTCTTTTCACATCCTCATCTGTAAACACATCATCTCGTCTCTTGTATCAACAATGTTCACTCGCTACGTTCTTCTCGCCCTCGCCACCTGCACTTCCCTTGTGGCGGCCCATGGGGCCTTAGGTGGTAAGCTCTTGTCCTCTGCTCATATTCGTGCCACTTTGATCAGCTCAATCTTTTCTAACTGTGTCTCTTATTCTACACAGGTATTTTCATCGATGGTGTCTATTATCCTGGTCCCAACCCCAGTGGGGATTCGGGCGAATTTGTCATTCGTGCCGTCAACGACATCAACCCGGTCAAGGGTACCGACAATCCCGATATGAACTGCGGTCACGGTGCCACAAAGGCCGCACGCGTCGCTCCCGCTAATCCTGGCTCAGAAGTCGCCTTCACCTGGTTAAACGGTGAACGTGGACCATGGGTCCACAACACTGGCGCTGTCATGACCTACATGGCCGCTTGCGGTAGTGAAGGATGCGCTAATTTCGATTCTGCCAATGCCCAGTTCTTCAAGATTGGCGAGTTGGGTCGCAAGCCAGAGGGTGGCTACTACATGGCTGATCTCACCGGCGAGTTCAACAAGACTCTTAGTGTCACACTCCCCAAGAATCTCCCTGCCGGTCAATACCTCATCCGTCACGAGCTCATCGCCATGCAATTGGGCATGTCTCCCGGAGGTGCCGAGTTCTACCCTGCCTGCGTCCAAATCGACCTCAGTGGCCCAGAAGTCAGCTCTGCCGAGCTTCCCAAGGGAAGCGATGTAGTCACATTCCCTGGTGGCTACAGCGACACTGACCCAGGCATCCTCGACCCCCACGTCTACGATCCCGGATACGAATATGTCTTCCCTGGCCCCAAGCTCATCAACGACTCTGCCACCAGCGAGAACCCATCCGGCTCTGGCTCTACTGATACCCCCGCATCCACGAGCAATGGTACTCCCACTTCTAGCACCAGCGCTACTCCCAGCCCCACTGGCGGATGCAACCAGAAGAGCAAGAAGGCCAAGCGTGAAGTCAAGCGCGTGTACAAGCGCATCTTCCGCCAGGGACCCCTCATCAACAAGAAGGCCCACAAGAGGGAAGTCGCAAAGGCCATCCCTCAGCAGCGCTCCCAGCCTGAATTCCCTGTGGCCCGCTCTCGCGTCATGCGCGGAATCTAAACCAAAGATGAAAAACTTTTTCCCGTTACCAATGAACATATAGATGAGCTGTTTTCCATGAAGGTGCTAGTCACAGTCACGAATTTCATTTCCTTTACTTTTGTGCCATCCTTTTTCCTCTCATCTCAAATTGCCGAATACCCCTCGACCATTTCCAGTGGTCAA